ATGATATACATGAATATTGGCGGTGATATGACGCCATACTTATCCGGTTGATGCATTGTTCCGATCGGCAACCTTCACATGGTCTGTTATTCGGGTGATGCATAGTTCCGATAGTTGATCCATTGCTGGCCAATGGACATTCCATTTGTCCATTGGATTCAATGGACACGCAAAAGTCCAATGGAAAGTTGGAGGTCCATTTGATCCATTTGACAAATGGAATGTCCAATGGCCTTTTGATTATTCCATTGGACATCTTGCATAGGTATTGGACATGTATGTGGAAAACTGGAATAGAATACATACAATACAGTATATATATTACATATAGTACATTACATATTAAATTACAAAATGTTTCCTTAAACAAAGGAAATGACATACATTGCAGGGTAGGGTAGGGTGTGTGGCTGGTGTTGTCCACCCTCTCAATTTTTGTTAAGACTATGGGTAGAATTGGAAAATAAGTCGATATCTATCAAGCACTTAAATGCTGCTGTTTCAGATGGTTTTTATTATAAATTGTACTTATTTATAATAATTACATTATATAGTAGTCATTAATTATTATTAAACAAATGGAATCAGTCAAAGGATATTGAAAATTAAAGAGAGGGCAGGATAAAGCTTGGCATTGAAAAAGCCAAGGACTGTCAGTGTCAGTGAAGGGTTTTTTCCATGCACATCCATTTTCCCAACCATATTTATATAATATATATGGTCTGAATTCTAGTCCAATAAACCACTGATTTGTCATAATGGATTATTAATGCTATTCCTATCAGCAAAATTTGCTAGTGCTATTTAAATCCAATTTGCCGACTAAATACCAACCACAACCCCCTTCTTTCATTTCACCCCTTGACAACCCTAAAGTTAGGCTTTTGTAGATAAAATCTGAAATTTCAAGTCATATGGGCATATTGTAAATAAAAAGAAAAAAAAATTTTTAATGTTTATTAAATAATAGTTAAGATTTTGACAACGTCATTTGTGTTTGCATGCTGTATGTGAAAATTAATCTTGGACCCTTGAGTATAAAACACTCCAGCTATAAACAAGTATAATTTAAAAACCTGCCCCATAATAATATGGGGCCCATATGGAAATATAAAAGACCTTAAAACTACTTAACTACAAGTGATAAAGGTACAGAAATATGAAAATCTCAGCTGCTGTTTACATGCCGTCACTTTTTCAAACTCGTGAATTTCGTAAGCCATTTTATTAAAAAAAAACCCTACTATTTATTTGCTAGAAATGAAGCAGATGCAATCTTACCGGTGGGAAGAAATATTTCTTCTCGATAAATCATTGTGGCATCCATATGCCATGCAAAAACTTGGCATTTTCTGTTCGCGTTTGAAAAAAAGTTTTGAAGGCGGGAAAAAAACAATAGCTTTCAGCCTTTTCGCAAAAACCAGGGTTCCTCCATGGTTGGGAATTGTGATTAGTATAAAGTCATTTGGTAGTGTTTCGTTTAGTTTAAAAATGCGTTTAAGAAAGTCTGTAGAGTCCTTGATATAGGATGGTATGTATTGGACAAGTGGTTTCAGATAAATATCTACATACTCCGATAGTCTGACGGTGGGACCCTCACATCCTGAGATAATTGGTCTTCCCGGTACGTCAGGTTTGTGTACTTTAGGAAGCAGGTATAATGTAGGCTTCCTAAGGATTGGTTCATCAATAGATAGGAATTTAAATGTTGTGTAGTCAATAAATTGATCTGTGAAAAATGTTTTCACGATCTTGTTCAATTTAGTAACCAGTTGTGGGAATGAGTCTGTTTCGATAAGTTTGTAGTTTCGTTTGTCGTTTAGTTGTTTATTCGCCTCGGCTATATAAGATTCTCTCGGCCAGATAACTATAGCGCCCCCTTTGTCGGCGGGTTTCACTATAACTTGTTCGCTGTTGCGGAGGTTCTTTATAGCCTGTTTTTCTGCATTAGAGAGGTTGTTATTTAGCCTAGTGGTTTTGTTGTCTTTGTTTTGCCCGTGAGAGGTTTTGAGTTCGAGTAAAATACGAGGCATGTATTCCAGAAGGTTAGTATTGTCAGGTAGTGGTGGTGTGAAGTCACTTTTTGCTTTGAATGGATGTCTTATATGATTGTTGTTCGAGAGTCGGTAATGGTATTGAAGGTACATGTTTCTTTGGTATTGTAGGTATGATGTGTAGACAGATTGGTAGCCAACCGGTTTAGGTTGGGGGACAAATTTAAGTCCCTTGTTAAGTATGCTTTTAGTAGCATCAGAGATATGTGTATTTGATAAGTTAATTATATTATCCCCTGCCTTTTGTTTTTGGATTTTATTGAGCAGTTGTTTTTTTGTTTTGTGTCTGTTCCCATTTTGGTTTCGTTTCTTCTGTAGATGTGCTAGTAGTTTTGGTTTGGTTATTGTTATTTTCTGTTGTTGTTGGTCCTTTGTTTGTCCTGAAGATAGTCCAGGATGTGTCTTGGTCGGATAAAATTATGAATCTGTTGTTGGATGTGATTTGATAGTAATGGTTGTGTTATGATTTTTGTTCTCGGCGAGAAGTTGGGTCTTGTTGTTGTAGCTGTTGGTGTTAGTGAGTATCGGGTTTGTTGTAATAGTGGGTTAATTGGTATTGGTGAAAGTGTTGGTGTGTTGGGTCTATAATGGAAGTTAGGTCGTGTTGTTGTGGGTTGTTGCGAAGAATGTGCGGTCTGTTAAATGTAGTGGCGTTTTTTGCGTTAAGTTTTGTAGGTCTGTGTCGCTGTCATTGTCCGTTTGTGAATTGTCCGTTTGTGAATTATCCAAATTTTGTTGTGTACTGTCGTTCGTTAATGGATCGTTCTCGTTCGTGTTTAGTTTATTTATAGTATCTGTTTTTGTCAACCCTCTCCTTGTCAAGGACAGGGCGTCCATTTGCAGTTGGCAAATGTCATCGTTTGTGTCTAGTAGTCATAAAGTTAGTGCAATATGTTGCCATGTTTTGTTTGGGTGTATGTATGTTACCCGTAGTGTGCTGTGCAGTATGTGCCTGTATTGTAGTGGTAGTATGTGCTTGTTTATTGTTGCTGTCTTGTCGTTTGCCTATAAGTCTTTTAATGTTTTTGTTTGGTTTGTAGCGGTGGGGTGCTGTGTTTTGACATCCATCTTGCCGAGAAACGTTGGCTTATTTCGTCTGTTCGCTTTAGTATTTCTGTTGTTTTTGTACTGTCGGTTATGTTGTCCCTCATTCGTTCTGTGGCGTGTGTTATTTTGGTTTCTATATTTGTAAGTTTCTGTTTGTGTTGTTCCAGTAAGATGTCGAGTTGTTTGCAGGCGGCATCTCTGGATGCTTGCACCCAGCGTTTACGGAGGTCATCGTCTAGTATGATGTGGCAGTCCATTGTTTTGTTTAAGTTGTTGGGTAGCGTTCCGTCTGTTTTGTGGGTCGTGAGGTTTTCCAGTGTTGTTTTCGTCTTAATTTGTTTTTCTTTTAGGTTGTTTAGGCTTTGAAAAGTTGTGTGTAGATGCGTCGGGATAGTTGAGAGTAGTCTGTATGTCGAAGAAGATGTTTCTGTATTGTCGTTCTCTTTGTCAGTATTGTAGTCAGGGGTATTGTTTGGTTGGTCTAGAGTGATTGCGTTGGGTTGGTTTCTGTCAGTTCGAGGTGTTTTTTGCGTTAAGTTTTGTAGGCCAGTGTCGCTGTCATTGTTCGTTTGTGAATTGTCTGTTTGTGAATTATCCCAATTTTGTTGTGTACTGTCGTTCATTAATGGATCGTTCTCGTTTGTGTTTAGTTTATTTATAGTATCCGTTTTTGTCGACCCTCTCCTTGTCAAGGACAGGACGTCCATTTGCAGTTGGCAAATGTCGTCGTTTGTGTCTAGTAGTTTCGTGATTTGTGCGTCACTGTAATTGTATACTATGGTTTCTGTCTGTGTATCACTGGTGTATATGCCGTGCTCTAAATCCATCAGGTCGTTTATATCATTGTTGTTTGGGTTATCCGTATCTGTGTCCATATCCATGCCAGTTTCCATTGCCTTTAAAGGTACCACTATATGTGGACAGTTCAAATTGTTATGTTTATGCCTATCATTTAACCTATGACTATGTGTGTTGGCTTGTGCGAAGATTTTGTAGTGTTGACAAAATGAAATCAATTATAATTACAATAATTGTTAAACTATGAGTTGTGTAATAATCTTGTAGTGGGCCATTTGTATAATTATACTGAGTGGTTTATTCTAACTTAATTGTATAATATGCTCGATAATGGAATTTTATCCTACTCATGCATGTATCAGTTGGTGGCTAACTTAATAATTGTTGTGGTGATATTTAGACTCGTGAAATACATACAATTAATTGGTGTTGAATAGTTCAATATATGTTGTATTGTGCATGCATGCATGTATGTACAGTGCTTCTAATAAACAGATAAAGACATTAAGTCCGCGTGTGTATGGGTTGTTTTGTTCTGTACATGTGTTCGGTCTAGAAAACTGTCATGTAGAGGGAGCCTGGTGAAGCTGTGCTTTCCGTTCCATATGAGTGTAACTCGCAATATTTTAATTTTGGAATAGGTAATAGGACCTATACATGCGTCTTGGACCTGTTTGCTTCTAATCATTATTTATCTAATGGATTTCTTTTATATTCAACAGGGTCTTGAAAGTAGACCATGCCGCAAAATATTGTATAAAAGGTGCACGCGTATTATGCGTGCATTGTATTTTAATTTTGGGATAGGTAATAGGACCTCTACATGCGTCTTGGACCTGTGGTGTACGTATAATCATCATTTATCTAATGGATTACTGATATTTTCAACGGGGTCTTGAAAGTAGACCATGCTGTTGAAATATTGTATAAAAGGTGCATGCATTGTTTTGTGTCTCTTTATGTCATTCCATTGTAGAAATATCGTAATTGAAGTTAGCATGTGCTGTATGTAAAGTTATTACTTGGTAATTGATAGGTGTAATTTGATGATGCACATGAATTTATCACAGGGTCGGATTTGACCATACTGCGATGTTGTAAATTAGGAATTGGTAACAAAACTTGTGATTTTGCGTTGTGTAATTTTCCTGTATCTCATTTGAGTAAATGGTTTCCTTAAATATATCTTCACAGGGTCTGGAAAGTAGACCATGCAGTGAGATATTGTAAGCTTGGTCCTAGCAGATGCGAAAAAGAAACGACGAAGGCTTGAACGTAAGTGGCGCTCAAATGGACTGATTGCAATAGAGCAAACTGTCTAGCTCAGTGTGATGTTGTTAACAAAATGCTACATAAGGCGAGAGAAGAATACTACTCCACCATCATACGTGATAACGCACATGATCAGAGAGTACTTTTTCAAACAGTGGGGAAGTTGTTACAAAAAGTCGGATAGACGTTATCCTTTGGCAAATAGTGATCGCGAGCTCGCTGATGCATTTGCTGATTATTTTGTCACTAATATTGATGGTGTTCGACAGGACGTATTAGCCAGAAAGAACATGGCTGGGAACTCCACAAGTGAAATTACAAAGTTACTTGTACTTCGAATTTTAGCTCCTTCGATATGCTAACTGAAGATGTCGTGAACTTGATTGATGAGACGACCATTAAATCTTGCTGTCTTGATCCTGTTCCAGCGATTATCATGAAGAAATGTTACATGACCTTAGTCCCACTGTTTAGAAGAATCATAAATTTGTCCTTGTCACTGGGTGCAATGCCTGAAGATCTGAAGATTGCGATCCTATCACCCCTGTTAAAAAAGTCCAATATTGATTTTGAATGTTTTACCAATTTTCGGCCAGTTTCAAACTTGAATTTTTTATCTAAACTCATCAAGAAAAGTGTTTTGGGTCAGTTGAATAATTACCTTGTAGAAAATTATGTTCATGAGCAATATCAGTCTGCATATAAAGCTTTCCATAGTACAGAGACGGCGTTAGTAAAGATTACCAATGACATTTTATTATCTTTGGATAGAGGTGAGCATGTTTTTCTTCTATTATTGGATCTATCAGGAGCATTTGATACTGTCAGTCACTCCTTGCTGTTATCACGGATGGAGAAACGGTTTGGCATTAGTGGAATTGTGCTAAAGTGGTTTGAATCTTACCTATCTAATAGGAGCCAGTTTGTGAATATTAATGGTACGAGATCTGCAACTCATGACGTAAACATTGGAGTTCCTCAGGGTTCAGTCTTGGGCCCTTTATTGTATCTTATCTACACTTCACCCCTATCAACAGATATAACCTGAAGTATCATTTGTTTGCAGACGATACACAGATCTATATCTCCTTTAATACCACAGACGTTGCTACATCCAAACAACGCGTTGAGGACTGTGTAGCTGAAATTTGTCATTGGATGAATAGTAATGAGCTTAAACTCAATCATGATATGTTGATACATTCAAGGTACCATAATAAACCACCTGTTGATGATTTTAACATTGAACTTGAGAAAGTGCCTATTACTGCTGCATTAGTTAAAAGTTTGGGTGTTGGTTTCGATGAGCACATGATGTTTGATAGCTATGTTGCTATAAATGTAAATCTTCCTTTTACCATCTGAGGAACTTATTGAGGATCCACAAATATCTGACGAGAGAGACTGCTGCAATTGTTGTACACGCTTTTGTTACATCGAAGCTAGACTACTGCAACTCTCTTCTCTTTGGCTTACCGAAGTACCAAATGAAGAGGTTACAGTATGTTCAAAATACAGCTGCTAGAATTGTTTGTCGGATTGGTAAATATGAACATATCATTCCAATTTTAGCGGATCTGCATTGGTTGCCAGTACATTACCGCATAGTTTTTAAAATTTTATTGTTAGTTTATAAAACAATAAATGGCATGAGTCCTAGGTATCTCACTGATCTACTACAGTTTCGTGAATCCTCAAGATCACTACGATCTGTATCGAATGAACTCTTAAGTCAACCAAGAACTATTACGAAGACATATGGTGATAAAGCTTTTTCAGTTTGTGCACCTAGACTTTGGAATATTTTACCATTGGATATTCGCAAGTCATCTAGTGTTTACGCTTTTAAGAAGTCAGTTAAAACTTATCTTTTTTCAAAATTTGTTAGTAGCAAATCTTTATTCATGTAGATAACTTTAGGTAGCTTACTTTGTTTGTATATAGTAGTTTTATTCTAAATCATGTAAAGCGCCTTGACAGCTTTGGATTTGTGCGCTATATAAATAAAGTTTTTTATTATTATTATTATTATTGTTCACTGTGTATTCCGTAATCTGTCCATCACATGTGGTTAAGTCTGTGAGGATTGTAAGTTTATTCCTTAGTATTTAAGTATGGATGCAGTTAGATTATGTACATACTCACAGGGTCTTGAAAGCAAACCATGGCATGAGATATGCATGTCATGAGTCCTATGGTTTGTGTCATGTATCTAACTATTGATAGGTAGAATAAGTAGTTGTTGTACAATCTACAAAAATGCAGTTTATAGAATCTGGCAGAACATTTAATTATGCCACAAGAGTAAACTTTATTTAAAATTGATGTCTTAGACTAATCATCCCAGATGTTTTGCAAAATGGCGCCCAGGGTCTGGCAAACATTTTTATGACTGCACAGTATGGCAGTCATTACGTAGTATATACTATATAGGTTAATACTTTAAGTAATATATATATAATAGGGATTGATTGTCCAAAGCAGTTCGAAGCAGTCCGAGCCAGTTCCGCGTTTCAACGTGGTATGAATAGGTAATATACTCGGTCAATATCATTAAAAATGACTGTAGAACATGGGTCGAATGGCATGCGGAATGGCCTTGGATAAACTATCCCATTGGTTCAACAAAATTACATTAAGGAGATAAATGGATGGTATTGGAGAGATGTTGTGATTTTTAATGAAACATTGAATAATGACGTGACTGTGTATTGGGGCTATAGCAAACCTCACAGAGTCTCGGGTTGACCATGCTTGTGAAGTATGTTAGCGGATGGTATATCATGGAAGATATATGACAATAACACATCTATATAAACAGCCATCCAAAAGTCCCAAACATGTTCACTCCAAATTGTTCATTATTTTTTCACTACTCGCAAGTATCATATCTTTAGGCCTTTATAATTATATTATGGGTTTCAGTTTGTAAATAAAATAGATAAAACAGTTCGTATATAACAATAGTCAAATAGTGTAATAAAGATAATTTTATAGTCATTAAAACCTCGATTGATGGGCTTCAACAAGCGATTTCTCTGAAGGATCAACAGTGCAGCTATGTTGGGAGCAATCTCCAATCCTTCTTGGGTTCTTTTTCTTGAAAACCTTTCGTAGAAGCTTGAGGATGTAGGTATATCATGGGCAGACGCAGAAATGGAACGCGCTTCTCCATCGAGGAAAACAATAAAATATATACACTTTGATACACTTTGGAAGCATCCCTGCTAGCGTAGTATTCTTTCCTACCCGTCATAACTATTATATATTAACCGTGATTTTTCAAAGGCATTTGACAGTATCAACCACACGATTCTCCTTTCCAAGTTGGAGCACTATGGTATTTGTGGCATTGCATTACATTGGTTTTGAACCTATCTAACAGATCGTTCACAATTTGTAGACTTTAATGGAACACCCCCAAACACTATTAAAACAAACTGTGGTGTTCCACAGGGTCTACTATTATTTCTTATTTATGTTAATGACATCTCGAATTGCAGCAATGTTTTAAATTTGTGGTTATTCACAGACAACACTAATGCTTTTTTGGAAGATAGTAATATACTAACTTTAACCACAATGGTTAATGTTGAATTAGAAAAACTTACTAATTGGATTAAAGCAAATAAATTATCGCTAAATATAAAAAAATTTAAATTTATGATATTTTCATCCGTTAGAAAACAATTTCACTATATTCCAAATATAAGTTAGATGGCTCTTCACTAGAGCAGTTTATCTGGGGAAATACATACCAGTCTTGTCTTAATCAGTTAAACATTTTAAACAACAAAGCTGTCAGGATCATGACTTGTTCCAAACCTTGATCCCATTGTTCACCTCTCTACAAACTACTAGGTATCCTTCAAGTAAAATATATTGTTTACACCCAAAAATGTACTTTTATGTACGATTACGTAAGACATGGAGATTTGTCATATCAGGCTAAAAATGCTAGTGGCAGAAGAAAGGGTTATATGGAAATCATGAAAGAGCTTTGGGAAGAGAAAGGATATGCTTCACTTGGCTATACCACTCAAAACCTACGAGACAAAGCTGCTCAAGTCCTTAAGACTACAGAAAGAACATTTTCAAATAGCTGCACAAATGATGTGAATGAGACATCTGTAAACTATTTCGAGAATGAAGAGTCCGATTTGGCTCATAATTTAAACAACCAACGATGTGAAATTCATTCAATAGAAGTATGAACAGAGGCCGAAAATGTCAACGAAGTTAATGTAAACACAACAGATGAAGTAAATAATATTAATGACCCGCCTCCTTCCATCGGTTTGCCTACATTGACATACGCTACTTTTCAATGGGGAGAATTAAACCGAGAAGCTTGTATTGTCACTATAAACAAAGCCTAAGAAGAAATAGTGTGTTGGAAAAGAAACATATTTCTACTCCCTTCGGGTAAAGTAGGCAAAGCGTTCATCAAAGAGTTAGCTCACCTATATCAAGCATATGCAGATTAATCACCACTTGAATGTATTGCTCTTAAAGCATGTTCCGTGATGCAAAGTGTTTTATTACAAAAACCTCACACGAAGAGTAAGAGTAAAGAGCATGTTGTTTGCCTGGAGCATAGACTCAATTTATGGTCAGAAGGCAGATTTAAAGAATTGATTTCAGAAGGGAAATGCATCCAGAACCATATGTCATCGTTGCCTTATTCCACACCGCAAGCCGAAATTCAAAACATCTCAAAGGGCTACAATCGCTTAATGTTACAATGGAAAGTTCGTCAAGCTGTTAATTTACTCTCCAATGCAAATTGCTGAGGCCTCTTACCTCTCGACTCTCTGATCCCAGTTGGTATAGACGATGAGGGTAACACACAATGGAAATCAACTAAAGAAATTATTTTGGATAAACATCTGCATGGACGTACACCGAACATTGATATACTTTTGCAGGATACAAAGCCGAGTCATTTTGATCCAATCCTATATAACAGAATTACCAGTGACACAATTAGAGATGCAGCCAATAAGATCCAGGGCTCCGCTGGTCCGTCAGGCGTTGATGCACATCTATGGCGTCGCTTTTGCTTGTCATATAAAACGGCCTCGTCGGACTTGTGTAATGCACTTGCAGGAGTCGCTAGACTGTTGTGCACCAAGTCAGTTCACCCTGAAGGTTTGTCAGCTTTCGTGGCATGTAGGCTTATTCCCTTGGATAAAGATCCTGGAATATGCCCCATAGGTATAGGCGAAGTGCCTAGGCGTATTATAGCCAAGGCAATACTTAGAGTGGTTCGAGACGATGTCAAAGAAGCAGTGGGTCCTTTGCAAACATGTGCAGGTTTTGAGGCAGACTGTGAAGCAGCTGTTCATGCTCTAAATCATATATGGGATTCAGAAGACACTGAAGGAACACTTCTTGTCGATGCTACTAATGCATTTAATACTCTAAATCGTAAGGCAGCGCTAGATAACATCCAAGCTACTTGTCCAGTGATATCGACAATGTTAAACAATGCCTATAAGGCCCCAGTTAGAATGTTTGTGACAGGAGGAGGTGAAATTTCATCAATGGAAGGAATGACACAAGGAGACCCGTTGGCCATGGTAATGTATGCATTAGCTATTAGTCCGCTGATTAACAGCTTAAGTGAGAAAGCACCAAATGCAAGTCAGGTGTGGTTTGCGGATGATTCCAATGCTGCAGGACGACTCGAAGCACTTAGGGACTGGTGGCAACATCTAGCTGATATTGGCCCAGAATATGGGTATTTTCCAAATGCTAGCAAGACAACTATGGTTGTAAAAGAATAATGCCTTGATCGAGCAAAGGAACTATTTGAAAACACTGGCATTACAATCACCACTGATGGTCATAAAATGCTTGGTGCTGCATGTGGTAAACGTCCTTTTGTGGAAGGATATGTGGCAGACAAGATAAAAGAATGGGATGAAGAAATCATGATGATATCTAAGATAGCCATATCCTCACGCTGCATATACTGCACTTTCTCGTGTAATTATTGGGAAATGGCAATATCTTATGCGGACAGTTGTGATGTTGGTGAAATGTTTCAAGTATTGGAGAACAGAATTGCAAACAACTTTATTCCAGCTTTAACCGGCAGAGAACCTTGCTCCAATGAAGGAAAATCACTGCTGTCCCTGCCAACACGTCATGGCGGTCTCAATCTTCCTAACCCTGTTGATCTTGCCAAAATCCAACATGATGCATCGTTGAAGGTCACCGAACCTTTAAAGAAGATGATTATAAGCCAAACAATGTCTTATGAAAGACTACAAGTACATGAAATAAAGGCAGAGCTATGACGACAAAAGAATGAGTACCACCAACAGTTAGCCTCGGATGTTCGGAAAACTTTGTCAGCACAAAAGCAACGGATCATGGATTTACTGAAGGAAAAAGGTTCATCATCATGGTTATCTGTGCTACCTCTGAAAGATCATGGATTTAGCTTAAACAAAGGTGAATTTCGTGATGCCTTATGTCTTAGATATGGATGGCAGCTCAGAAATCTCCCCCAGTACTGCATATGCGGAAAAGGGTTTTCGACTGATCATGCCATGATCTGTACTCATGGAGGTATGACAATAGCTCGGCATAATGAACTCCGGGATCTAACAGCAGGTTGGTTAAATGAAGTTTGTAGAGAGACAGAAACTGAACCGCAACAACTGAACCGCAACTACTGAACTGCAACTACAGCCCCTTTCAGGAGAAATTATTCTACATCGATCTGCGAATAAGCAAGATGACGCCCGAGTTGATATTAAGACCATCGGTTTCCGGGGACAACAACAAAGCGCATTCTTTGATGTTCAAGTTTTCCACCCAAACGCGCCAAGTTATCGTAACACCAGTGTTACTGCTCTATTTCAAAAACATGTGGTGAGCGTGTGAGAGGTGGAAAATAGTTCTTTTACACCGCTGGTCTTTTCAACAACAGGAGGTGCTAGCAGAGAAACTACTGTTGTCTATAAGAGACTTGCTGATCTCCTTGCAAACAAACGGAAGTCTTCATATGACACTATTTTAGTGTGTATGTGGTGCCATATCTCTTTTGCTTTAATGAGATCTGCAATATCATGCATTAGAGGATCAAGGGGACAACGACGCCGTCAAGCTGATATGGGAATTGATACAGAAGTTGTCAAGAGTAACTTACTGAGCCATTCTTAAACATTAATTTGTTGATTATAATAAACATTTGACATCTTAAGTAATACAAACGAGATATTTGACAAATTTTTAGCCAGTTTATAGAACAATTTGGAACATTTTCTATATTTTTTATAGTATATTTTATCAATAGTCTATTATAATAATAATTAATAATAGGTTACCAGTAGCATTTTCTAATTATTTTACAAACTCTTCAGAAATGCATCAACATTATACTCTATATTCAACCCATAACTTTCATTTACCATCTGTTTCTATTAACTCAGGAAAATTCTGATTGAAATTTTCTGGAATAAAAACCTGGAGTTCTCTTTATAATTGAGACAAATTACTGTCTAGGAAATCTCTAATAAAAAGAATTAAAAAGAATTGGCTTGATACCTATTCCTAATATGAAATGTTTACTACTATCTTATATCTATATACTATAATCAAATTAAACCTATTGTGTGTTATACAAATTGTTAATGTACAGTGTGTGTGCATATATGTATTTATTATATTTCTTTATATATATAATTTCTAAATTTATTTTTCTTTTGTATTATTATTTGCCATATTTAATTAATTGTTGTATATAGTTCTTATGGGGAATTGGCTCGAAAACTTTAGTTACTCCAATTCCCCAGCACTGTTCTCATGTAAACTTTATTGTAATAATCTTGTCATATTTTTTTTAATGCAAATAAATTCTATTCTATTCTATTCATGTTGAAAATCAGGCTCAATTTGGAGTCTCTTCTTCCAAACAGAGGCACAAGATCAGACCATCTGTTAGGATATGTCAACCTTCTTAACATTATCATTAGAGCTTCTAGCCCAGTCGCAGTTGTCCATGTCATTCTTCTCGAACCTTTTCATAAAAAAGTATAAAAACACCATGTATAAGTTTATAGAGCAAATGCCAGCAGCAAAATAACCTCACAGTTAAAGTATTGTTAACACACCTGAACATTTCTATGCACTCACTGTCACAGAGTGCCTGAAAATCGAGTCTGTGTCGCATTTTAAGTGTGGGGTTAAACAGTGTATCCAAAAATAACATGTCCACATCTTTGTTACTTGAACTGGAAATGCTGCTGTCTGAATCATACGCCATTATTTCCAATATATCATTCAAATCAGGTTATGTTTTTGTTAATATTTATTATAGTTTAAAACTAAAAAAAACTAGCTCAAAAGCATTTAAAACTAACCTTCGAACACCCGCCATTGCTTTACAAAAAGGTTTTGAAAAAAAGCATGAAAACTGAAAAGGTCCAAAAACTAAATGCGAACGACGTGTTGTACGCCAAACCGGTTACAGCAAGCAGCTAACCATGGTTTGCGGTTAGCCGTTTGACGTCCAAGCTGGAAATCTAAAGGTCTCTAATGTAAATTACCACCTCCCCAACCCAGAAGTTGGCAGTTTTTACTTCCCACCACTGCATAATCAACATTTCTGGACTGTATAAATATCTGGTTTTGTCTCTGTGATTTTGCTTTGCCCCCACACTTCCTAGATTTGAGCAGGCAGGGGGAATTTATGTTGACTGGTACATAGTTTACCATAATCACAGGATATTATTTAAAGATTTGCCTAAGAATCTACTGCCGCTTTTGAAATTGCAAATTTTTAAAAGCATTATCTTACTTGCAGGCACACCAATTGCAACAATTGGTCTGCCTGTGTATTACTTTATGTGTGCAGTACTTGCATTGGGTTAAATTGAAATTGTTCAACCACTGGAGCCCCCCCCCCCCCTGTGTGGGGACACACACACTTTTTAACTACAAGGATATAAGAACTTTTATTAAAAATACACATTAAAATAATAGTTACAATAAATGTTTATTTGTTTTCCAAACGAGTTTGTATGTTCCTATACAATTACAGTTTAAATTTTGTTCAGCAAGATACACGTCCTTCAACTAGTGCTAGTTCAATCTCCCCACCAAAGGAATTAATTGGATTGTGGTGGGAAGATCTGGATCCATGTAGGCACATTATCGCTGATCATAACAATGAAAAGCTAAGTCGGCACCTAAGCCAGTTTATTGTCTTGCTATATGGCTTGCCGTGTTTTTCAGCAATCAAGGATGCTATTCTCTTGTAGACCACGTTTGCAGTGGCACCCATACCACCCGCTGTCGAGAAGACCAGCGGAGAAAATGACCCGTGTTCTACTTCTCTAATTCTTTTGTCGTACGCTCTTCTTTTCTCCAGTTCATTCTTACGATGGCATTGAGAGAGGTGTTTTGATAGCTCGGTGCGAACGGGTTGAAACCCTGGCGTCAAAAAATGCATGTTGCCAATCGCGCCCCCAGAAACTTTCTGCTACAACATCCAGTCGAGCACCATCTTCTCTATTTGCTGATCTGTGTGAAAATGCTTCATCAGTTACAGGTTGTAGGCCTGGTTCGACACCAACTCCATAGCATACCTCTGTCAAAAATTCAGCAGTAATATCTCTTATCTCGTTGTGTCGGATTGAGGGAAAGCCTCCTCGTGAGCAACTTAAGGCATGCTCTATTGTGAACTTCTGATCACAGACGTAGCGGGAGGGAAGGTGCTGAGGAAGCCATCCATATCTCAGACATAGGGCATCTCGAAAAGCTCCTTTGTGTAGGTTGAACCCATAGTCAGACCACGGAAGTGCAGTAAGCCATGTGGAAGCTCAGTAGAAACTTCTATCTATCGCTCTCTGTAGATTTGGAGGTAATCTGTTTCCTATTTACCGGTTTGGTGTGTTGTCCACTGATGTGAACCCTAGCGGCAGGAGCACTCGATTGGTGATAATCTTCTCGCCAAACAACCAGTTTGGGAATTTATTAATCCTTTTCGAAGTAAAATTTTCCAGGTGGCACAGATACTGATTGCAGCTCATGTTTAACTCTTCAATGACAGCATTACAGTATCGCATTACAATATACATTCAATGTTTCTAATGTAAATATCTTGGCGAGTGTTTACCCCCCTTTTAAATGAAATCCAGATGGGGGTGTCAGATGCCGTCAAAACATTACAAACAAACCAAAGCAATCATATATTTACTCACTGCTTGGACAAACATTCGGTATTTCATATTGAGAAAAAGCTGAATATCTTCTAAACTTTTCGTTTCTTTCTGATCGGCTATATGGGTAAAATACTCCTTGTATTCAAGCGCTTTCGTGTAGAAAATTTCGTTTGGATACGGTGAGTAGAAATATTTATTTTGAATTTTTTCAAGATATCAGGTTTTACTCGCACACGCTTGTATTAAGTAATACTGAGGAGCTCCAATAAGGGAGCTCCTTTAGCCGGGATGACGTCAAACTCACGCGTATGGGTGCACTTTGACCTTTAGAATCGATTGCTGGCATTTCCAGAGTCATACGATACAAACCTCACATTGTTTTGACGTTTTGAAATTTATTTCCGGTTGGGATCATACTCACAATCGGACCAAAAATGGAAATAGTGTGATACTTTTATCAAATTTGAAGATACAGGCTCGTAAAAAACATCCCAAAAACCGCTGTTGATATCGATTTGAATAAGACCACAACAAAGACGAAAGGTATGGCTCGTTTATATTTTTGTTCAGACAATTGTGTAATTTGATAATATACTATCTCGCTTGACTTCCAAAGCTCAGAAATTGCTATAATGTCGACATTGACTAAAACTGTCGATAGAAATTAGTAGATATTTTTACACTGAATCGAATGGTGGTATTTTCATCTTCATAGCATTTACTGAACCGAAGATATGAATCTGCAAAATAGTATTCCACCGTTGACCTAGTTTTAGTGGGGTCTGTCGCCCAGGAGTTAAAGCAATGCAGCTGATGTTTACAGGCATCAATTCGCCCAGGAGTTAAAGCAATGCAGCTCATGTGTACAGGCATCAATTCCCTTTGCCTTGGAATCAAATTGGTCTCCTTGGTCCTTCTTAACACTGAGTGGCCAAGTGTTTACACACGGTTTGGAACATAGAAGTGGCATTTCCTTCCTAATGCATGAATGTGGAAAGCACTACCAGCAATGCTTTATTATAGGGACGTCTTCTAAACACTACAAACATAACCCAACAATGGAGCAAGGACTGGAAGAAGAATTCATATTTGTCACACTTGAAGAACCAGTGGGACATACTTTGTCAGGAAGATTCAGAAGTGCGAGAAATTTAACATCTTTGCACTTGCAAAAGACTGACATAATCATGCCCCTTACAAGTGTTCATCCTCCATAAATTAAATAACTTTGAGGAACAGAGATATTCACCAAGGTTTCGGTGTCTTAGCCAGCTTAGCTTTCTTTCCAAAATAAATGAATAAAGATCAGCAAAAACCTTATGGAAATTTAGTATAACACACTCCCTGGCATTCAATGAAATATGTAAATGGACAATCAAGGGAACCACATTCTTAATGGCTGCAGATATTGAAGGAGCATGAGAATAAACCGGCTGTTGGATAAGAAACAGAGTCATCAGAAATTTGTAGGTGAACTGACAGTGACGGTCAGACAGTGGTGCCTAAATAACTTTGAATTTGTACTCAAGTAGAAGTAATTAACAATAAAAGGACTTGAGTAAGAGTAAAAAGTACTGGAGGCAAATGCAGTTAGCATTTGCAGTTACAGTCGAACCCCTATTAGCGGACACCCCTCTTAAGCAGACACCCCTCTTAAGCGGACACCTCAGCAAGGTCCCGAAAGTGTCCATTCAATAGGGGTTCGACTGTATTAATTATTTACTGCATAAAATGTTGAGTGTTTCAAATTATTAATTTATATACAATTTGTAATTATTCATTTTGAGTGTTTAAACTCATTAATACACAAATAATTTTTATAGTATTTACATTCTGTAGTAGAAATGTTGAAAATAAATTTGTTGTTGATTTATTCTTCCCAGACTTTATTTTATGGCACACTCATATGGCATAGCCTTACATCTCAAATCTTAAAAACTCAATTGGCATGGAATTTTTACAAGGGATACAAGGATTTTTTTTTACAAATTCAGTCTTGTGTTTGTGTGTGTGTTAAAAAGGCACCTAGTAACTGCAGGGAGTCTCTTGGTTGAGGTTTTGGTTATATTTTTGACAAAGGGGACTTTCACTGGAGGGAGGCAGTATTGGTCTGAAATAGCCCCTTCAGTGAGAGATTATATGCAAGAAAAGGCCCTGTAAGTTGTGGAAAACCTTAAAAAATATGGGGAATAATGTATCCCATAGTATTCTATTTCCTGCCTCGCAAGTAGCTTTATATTTAATGTCTATACCAAAAGAACCTTCCACTGCCAAGGAACTTGGCCAGGACCATTAACATACTCAGAAAGGAGATCCCTAACCTGGCTAGCATTTCTCGTGTGATTCATACCAGGTGCTACAAGAGTTTCCAAATTACTTTCCCCATTTTGCCGCCACTCACCACCAATAACTTCACCATCTTTCTCATAATCCAGAGATCCTGAGGGAATATAAACTGACGGATTCTTGATTAGAAAATTGTGCAATACAAGACATGCATGAACAATGGAGATTGCATTTTCAGGTTTTACACAAAGTGTGGCATGGAATACTCAAAATTTCGAAGCAAGAATACCAAGTGCATTTTCACTTACTCTCCTGGCACAAGAAAGTCGATAATTGAAAATTCTTGGCTCTTGTTTCAATCCTCTATTTGGATATGGTTTCATGACGTTTGGAGTTAAGCTGAATGCATCATCTCCCACAAAATAATGTGGTAAAATTGGGCAGCAATCTTCTAGTATCATTGACTGAGTCACTGGAAGTGGTTTAGGTTCAGGGATGTGGAGCTTGTGAGATTACAGGGCTTTGTAGAATACTGTGTTTCGCAAAACACCACCATCGCTAATACAGCCTTGACACCCAACATCAGTGAAAATGAACTTGGAGTTTGGACCCACCACTGCCATGAGTACCAAGCTGAAGTAACCTTTATAATTGAAGAAGTCTGAACTACTATGAGGATCATGTAGGATCGTGACATGTTTGCCATCTATTGCCCCCAGACAATTTGGTAACTGCCACCTCCACTGGAAACAATTACTTATTTCCAACCATTCATTAGCTGTGTTTGGGCATGAAATGACATCACAAATTACAACAGAAAGTGCTTTGCAAACGTTTGGAATAATCAGAGATAAGGTTCCTTTGTTAATTTGGAACTGGTACTGCAAACTGGTGTAGCACTCCCCCGTTGCCAAGAAACGAAGTGTTACTGCAAGCTGTTCACTAGGTGTTATAGCATCTCATACAAGTGTCCTTTTTTTTTCAAGATGTGACTTAATTTCTCTACCAGCTGCTCAAAGTGGCAAGGTCAAACCGTAGATAGTTCAAAAAGTGTTCAGGATCACTTGTAAGATCTTTTAGCAAACAGTGGAATGCTCCCTGCATTTCCCTGGTGGCAATCAACTCTTTGTCCACACAGCTCTTCCCCTTCTCTTCTTTTTTCATCTGCAAGCAACAAGGACGGCAGCAATGCTTAAACTTACAGCCTCTAATAATTCATCTGTTTCTTCCATGTTTCATTCATACTTGAACCTTACTAAATTTCATTAAACTCACATTTCAAACTGTAAATGTATTTTAAAATTTTTGTAATATTTGTTGTCATCGGTCATTTATTCTGGTTTGCTTTAAAGCTCACATACGCGCATGCCTGCCTGCCCTAATACTCTGCTGCCCACTACCAAAAACTTGCATGAAGTTGCAATTGAATTGCCGTAAAGTTGCTATGAAATTGCCGGTATTTTACATGTGCGATTTAAAGTCGCTAAAAAAATCGCCATCCAAATCGCCATAAAAATCGCCATAAAAATCGCCTGTGTAAACAGGTCTTTAGTAAAGTAAATATTTAATTAGGCTTGAACATCCATTTTTGCACTAGTTGGCAGCAAGGCTTTGTGACTAAGGTAGATGCAATGTGAGTGGGACACTAGATCTAATAAGGTGAAGGACCACCTGTAATTTGTGTTGGACACCACCCCCATGATTTTGTTTATTACTTTATTAATCATATGACTTTTGGATTCAATACATTTTTTCTCAAAATGTTGTATTGTTACAGAAACTCCCAAAATCAATTCTCCTCATACAAGAGTTCTGAAGGGGGGTGGGGTGTCCTAATCCCAGTTTCCCTGCCCAAATCCCATCAGCATTGTCCCAAGCCTATGTCTTGCTCAAATGCTATTTCCATTGAGTTTTTGTTTGTGAATGCCAGTGCATTGCCCTTTAAAATGTTCGTGATGTTAAAACTATGAAAACACCTACCTAAGAGTGAATATATTTCTCTTGGAAGCAGTTTGGTAAATTCTGCATGTTTTGACCACTCTTGAAAGGGATTTATATTGCGAGTTCTTTGCTATTTTGGTATTTTTGGATCTAACATTGTTTAAGCAGTTTCACAGAGAATAGCCTGTGTTTTATGAGGGGGGGGGGGAGGAGCGGGGGAAAACCACACGGGCGAAGGGGGAGGGAACGTCTGCCGTAAAGGCCTATCTGTTTTCGTTTCTACGGCCGCTCACAGCCGCGAAATTCTGATTGGCTTATTTTGACTCCTCAAAATATTTACAACCTCAAAATAAACAAGTTATAATGTCCATTGTAAATTTGTGATTTGACTTGGATTTCATTACTTCAAAAGTTAAAAAAATACATATACTAATATTGTCATAATGTTTTGGTTTTAGAAAACTCAAGGCCAAAAAAAACAAAGGCATTTAGAGATGCCTATGGTGAAGTAGCTGTTCTCCGTTCTTTGTGCAAAGAAGGTAAGCTTGGTAATATTTAATGTCAGGGATTTTGGTGGGTTAAGGAGAATTCCTGGAGAATGATATAATCATATCTTTTTTGACTCTTAGATGTACCTGTCCTTGCTCTGACTGGAACTGCCAATAAGAATACTCAAGAAACCATTTCCAAGCAACTGTGCCTCAAATCTAACTATACAAAGATTTTCATAAGTCCTAATAGAATAAACTTACGGTTTTCTTTAAAAAAAGTAAAGAAGGTGGAAATGAACTCTCAATTGGACTGGCTAGTACATGAAACCAAACTAAGTGGAGACTAATTGCCCAAAACAATTATTTTTTGGAACACTTTAAACGACATTGCAAGTGTTGTCAATGTGCTACTTTTGAAACTTGGTAGCCATGCATATATCCCTGTTGGTTCAAATGACAGCAATGACTTTATTGTTGGAATATTTCATTCTGCATCGTGGCCAAATTATAAGGAAAAACTGCTGAATGATTTTAAAATGCTATCCAGTAAGAAAAGAATTATTGTGGCTAGCAGTGCCTTGAGTATGGGAGTGGACTTCCCTGACATTAGACATGTTGTGAACTGGGGGCCTGCAAGAAACCTTCTTGACCAACTTCAAGAAGCTGGCCATGCTGGCTGTGATGGAAAGTTATCCCATGTTATTACTATATACCATGGTAATCAATTATCACATTGTGAAGATGAAATAAAAGACTTTGTCAAAACCACTGGCTGCTATCGTGTTGCCGCTTACAAGCAAATTTGATTCTTCAATTGCACCGATAGAACCTGGTCATGATTGTTGCTTGCATTGTTCACAAGAATGTTGTTGTGTTGATTGTGGTAATGGTGCCGCATTCAAATATCCATTTGAGGATAAACTGCCAGAACATGGATGTGACCAAACTTTGTCACGACCTGTCAGTGATGAGGACAGAAAAGATCTTCAAGCTGCTTTACAGAAATTTCACTGGGACAAAGGAATCATTCAGACAGGAATGCTTTTGGTGCTTCAAATTATTTCTCATTGGAGCTTGTTGATGATATTGTTAATAGTTGTCAAAACTTGTTCACAATACAAGATATTGTTGCGAGTAATTTTCCAGTGTATTCAGTTGCACATAGCCTAAAAATTCTTGAAGTAATCTAAGACGTTTTTGAAGACATTCCTAATCTGCAGTCTTCTTTGGACTTTTTTTCCCAGTTAACAAACTGTAGCTATGAATATGAAAGTACAAACAAAGACATGCAAAGTGAATGTTATTTTTTAGATTATGTTGATTCATCTGATGATAATACTGATTTGTTATGAACTGGTTAAATTACCTCAATCTACTTTACTAGTTAATATATAATTTATAAATATATTAAGTTGAACTTCATTTTATGTCTTGTTTGTAAACTGATTGCCACTGCTTCAGCAAGTCTGTCATCCATTTGTGAAGGTCTCTATAGTCAAGCCCCCATCAAGTATACTAGATGGGAAATTAGGGAATGAAGGGTAACCATCCCGACCAGGTTGATGATTGAAAGCCTCTTTCTCAATTAAGTCAGCAACAATTTGCTTAACCGCTTCTTCTGGCTTTCCTTGTGACCGATGCCCATCTTCACCTGTCATAAGACAATATTTGTCTATAGAGTCCATCACAATTTCTAATGATTCTAAAGAGCAGGCCATCCTTTGTGCATTTCCTTCTGACAAATTTGCACCCAGACCTCTCCACAATGTCTTAAGGAGCTTGTTAAGAGGGCCCCCTATACTTTTTGCGTGAAGCGTGATGGGCTTATTTTACTTAGCCGTGAAACGTGATCGATGATTTTCTTAATCTGTGATTCGTGATGGTATGACTTCCAATCTTTTTACGTGCATGTGAAGGAAAGATTCGATTTAACTGTGACCCGTGAATGGCAGATAGAAATTTCGTGATTCGTGAATCTTCTGTTTTGTGACCTTTTGTGTGATCAGCTTTCCAAGGAATAAATACGGTTTGTTGCTGTTTTTTGAAGTACTTGATGTACAGAAGCCTGTTTTCGACATAGTTGGAGGTATGAAAGCATGTCGAGGTAAGTACAGACGAGTACAATGATTCTACAATTAAGGAAGACATCTTATAATAATTCGTGAACTTTGTTTTAATTTTCTGTGAATCGTGATCGCTTTGATTTTTCCGTGAACGTGAAGGAATTTTTTCAATTTTTCGTGACTCGTGAAAAGGCAAAATATTTTTACGTGAAAGCATTTTGTGAAGAGGTATAGGTGGCCCTCTGTTAAGCTGTTCCATTCTCAAATCTAATGAGATGTTTTTCCCTTTGCCACCATGTTTATTATAAATGCTCTACCTTGACCAGGTAGAGCATTACCACATAAGCATATTTATAATGGCCACCAACTTTGTACAAAAGAAGGGCCATCTTGTACACATCAAAAAGTCTGTCACCATCACCTTCTTTGACAGCATCATTAAACTCAAACAGTATTAGTCCATATGCTAATTTTCCTCTATGGTAATTGTATACATAGTCTTCAGGGGGTGTAGCCTCCTTGGCTGGCTCTGCACTTGGGGGGATCAATGGAGAAAAGCTTGGATGCTTTTGTCTTTCATGTCTAAAGAAGAGAAAAAAGAAAAAAACACAATATATTTCACTGTATGTGCACTAGCTGATTTGTATTCTTTTGACTGGCATAAATACCTGTTTCTTGCGGCTTTAGTGCTATAAACATATCCACATTTTGCCCGACATTTGAAGTATCCAAATGAGTCTTTTTCACTTGAACCACACTCTACATGGAAGCTGTGGGAATCTACTTCATGTCTGTAATAGTAAATATGAAATCATTGCCCAAGAATCTCAGGGATGCACTCAGCTCAATGTACAGGTGTGACCTAATTCTACTGTAGCAGTGTTATTAATTTTAAATGAACTTACTTTACTCTTCCAGAGTGGTAAACATATGTGTTATCACAATTCGAATATCGACACTTGAAATGTACTTGTAGTCTACTGTGCAACTCACAAGTC